GTCCAACTTGCGCTTGCGTCCCATCTCCCCAAGTCGGCCTTCACGGCCCTCGATCTTACCGTCTTCCGCACCAGCTCCCTTCGGAGGAGGCGTGAACCAAGGAATCTTCCCGCGGAGGAAATCATTGATCACCATCTTGGCGACGCCGTCCAGGTCCGGTTCGCCTCCCTTGAGTAGTCGGCCTCCCTTGCGGGCGAGAACACTCAAAAACTCAATAGCATCTTGTTGGTCCTTAACACCATATGTCCGCTCCAGGTGACGGGGTTGGACGCGACGAAGAACAGCTGGAATATACTGTTCCGGGTTCTCAACATTCTCAACCCGGCAAACGCCACGAAGAAGAATGTCCTCCTCGGTGTCATTCTGGTTTGGCGGAACGACTCCAGGGCAATCGATGAGGTAGATCCGCTTCATCAGAGTGATGTACTGCCACACCTTGGTCTCTCCAGGGATAGGAGCCACAGTGCAGACCTTCTTCTTCCGAAGAGTGTTGATGATGGAAGACTTGCCGGTGTTGGGGTAACCGATAAAACCAACAGAAACTTGTTTCCGGTCGGAGTGCAGGGCTGAAAACTGGCGAAGCAGCTGGATGAGAGAACCTTTACCAAAGGAGTTATTGATGTTGGCGTGGAATGCGAGAGTGGGATAATCCTTTGACAGGTGGCGGACCCAGGAAGCCTGATAACAGATTCCATGTTAGCGATCAATCACCAACTAATGTGAAAAGCGCAGAATGTGTGGGATGTTACTAAGAGGCCTGCTATAAAGCCACCAAAGAAGGCAGAAGCAGGACTCAACTCAAAAACAAAGCACGCTTGGTCCTTGAGACAAGTTTTCAAGACGAAAACCAGTCAACCTAGTCTCAGAAAGAGGTTCGGCGCGGACCAGCATCAATCTACCAAAGCTGTAACAGACAGACTCCCATTGAGAAAAGCACGACATGTGTCGCAGGAAGAAGCCTTGACTTAGCAATGGCACGGCCAAGAGGCCGAGGGGGCAAAAAGAATATAAAAAACAACGAACTCGAGCACAGTGATGGGAATAATAAAGGAGGGAAAAAAGAGACTTACAGCAACGCCGGTCGGGACAAGATCACACTTGTTCAGGACAAAGATCAAGTGTTTGTGCGGAGCTTCGTCGTGGATATATTTTTCAACACTCCGGCAACGGGTGCCAACGGGGTCACGGGCATCCAGAACGTGAATCACAACATCGGAGGAGTCAATGACTTTGTAAAGTTCATTCCAAATCCGCTTGCTTTGTCCCTTGGAAAATACCGACTCTCGCGCAGTGGTATAAGTGCCGCCGTCCTCGCGAGCAACGTCGTCACCATTCACAATCGCAGTCCCATCCGCGAATGTGCCTTGATCCAACTTCTCGAGGTACGAGTCGTGCATCTTGGCGGTCTCGCCAGCAAGGTCTTCCAGAGATGCCACGCCTAGCTTCACTCGCTTTCGCTGAGCCTTAGGACCGAAAGTGTCAACGTAAGGAGCAGTTTCAACCGCCATCTTAGCCTGGTGCTGCTTCAAGCCATTCACCCCGTCACCATCCCGGATGAGACTCATGGGAAGCTTGTTGGTCTTGAGCAGGACCTGGTATGGGTCCGCCGCACGCTCTGCTACAGCCTCACGGAATGAGGACAGTGCTTGCTGAGAGATGACTCGGGTGTTGCCGAACCATTTCCGGTTGGGCTCAATGCGAGCCACCGGGGCATCGCGCGACTGGTAGGAGGCAGCCTTGGTGATTTTTCCAGAAGCATTGCGTTGGGCTTTGCCATCCTTGAACATGTTCAAGGTCCTTATCTTCTTTGCATCTCTAGATGATTGTCAGTCCACATTGGTTCTTTGAGCAGCGTTGTTCCTTGGGGTAGGGGGAAACGTACCTGTAGAAGTTTTCACCTTTGGTCTTCACGTTCCCCATGCCATCATCCAGCTTCCCCTGCCGCACCTTACGGGCGGCCTCCTTCTTTCCGGTACCCATGATTCAGGGTGGTTTGCAAAAATAAAACAGAATTTGCTGCCTTGACAAAAGTGTGGCAGGTCGGAGATGGAGTGAAAGAGGAAAAGAAAAAAAATGGCGGGCGGAGTATTTCTGCCGCGCACGGGCCACTCGCAAACTCGCTTCGTCGCCCAACCTCCGTCCATTCCTCTTCTCGATCTTCCCGAAGACACGGAGTGACCGCGTCCAATTGTCCAACATGTCCCTCTCCCGCAGCGGCCGGGCGGCCGCCATGCAGGTCCGTGGCTTTGCGTCCTCCTGCAATCTTCGTGTTGGCCCCGAATCTCCTCACTTTGTCGATGTCCCAAGAGCCATTCAGCCTTCTGCCCAGAGCAAACCACGCGTCAAAGGTACTCTCCCAGTACCTCGCGAGATCTTCCCGTCTCGACGGCCAGATAAGAGGACGAAGCAGTATATCGATGCCGCAACGCAGGCCCCAGCGACCGAGCGCGAAGTGAAGAACAGCAGCGACCCCGAGAAGCAGGAATTCAGACTGAAAATGGCGGCGCTACGACGGAAAAACCTCCGACAAGGTCTTCGGGAATTGTACCAGCGGAAACGAGTGGCTGATGAAAGGATTACTGCCCGGAGTCAGGCCAGCCAGGCACAACGCGATCGGGTCCTCTACCAGCCCGAGAGAGACGATGAGCGGTTAACGCGGCCGTCCATCGTGCAAGCCATGCTGCACGAAAAGATGGCCGTCCTACCGGATCCCAACCGAGAAGAGCGTCTGGCTCAATCGAAAGCACGTATGGAGTCCAAGCTGGCTGAGAAGAAGATGGAGCGCCAGGAGAATTTGCAGCACCTGTACATGAATGCGCGCAAGTTCATCACTACAGAGGAGCAGCTCGACGCCGAAATCGCCAAGGTATTCCCTACCGGTTCCAACAAGGCGTGGAGCAACGACCACTCAGAAGGTGAAAGTGTCTGGAATTTGGGTAACCCCCGGACTGTGGAGTCTATTGTCAACGAAGGACGGAAAAGCGAGACCCAACGCTGGGATATTCTCCAGGGCAGACTCAAGAAGATTGGAGAGCAGATCACTGGGGGCAAGCTTTGAACGTGATCTTAACATTGTGTACAATACTTTCAGCAGTTACATTTCTTTTGTTTTTATATCATCCCTGGAAACCCTGCTGCATCTTGGGCTATTTTCCTTGTCATATTCATCGTTCACCAATATTTCTCGCCAGGCCGACCTAGCGCCTCACCCTACGAAGGAACCGCCGTGGGCCCGATATACTCGGTAAAAATATTTCGGTACGAGTATAGATTCGAGTTGGGAGTGTCAAGCGCAGTATGAATACAATTTAGAAGCAACACCGGCAGGCCACCTATTCCTGACGAACATCCTACTGGGGCCCCAAGACTAGAATCGATGTATAACTCACCGGCTCGTAGGTATGAATCTGCTCCACCCGCAATCCGGAACGCTCACAGAGCGCATTCCACTGCGGCACGCTGCGCTCCTTCCCAGCAGACGCAGCCATCATGGCGATATCAGCCATTGTCGCCTGCCAGTGAGCGCCAGTCCTAGGGAGGACGACTTCGTCAATCAGAATGCGGGAATCGGGACCCATGGCGGCTGCCATATTCTGAAGAATCTTTGAAGCATCATCGTCGCACCAGTCGTGCATGATTCTGCGCATGTAATAGAATCTGGCCCCTATATCTGGGAATGAGCACGAAGTCGGGCTTGAAACCAAAATGCATACCTGTAATGGGTTGCTTCTCAAAGAAGTCATATGCTTCAGCTTTCACTCCTTCAATCGGAGACAGCTTTTTCACTGCCTCTGGCAAATCTTGGAGGACAAGATGGTCTAGGAGGTTGGGATACTTCTTCGCAAGCACGATACATTGGTGGCCGTACCCGCCACCAACATCCACGAAGAAAGGCTTTGTATGCCCCTCTGCGGGACCAGGCGAAATTTTTTGGGCTTCCTGGTCAATCAAATCAAATCCGGTGGTCCAATCAACTGATTTCAGCGAGGTCATGATCTTCTGTAGTGATGCGAAGAGCTCAGGACGTTGAACGAGCCAATCGAAGGCAGCGAGCTCGGTATTGAAAGCCTTCTGGAATGGAGTCTTGGTCACACAGGTGACATCTTCATAGTTTGTTTCGGAGAAGAAAGCTGGCAGAACCCGTGCGATGCGACCATGGACGTCGAATCTGGTCACTTTAGTATGTACGTGGGTGGAGTGTGAGGATGACAATATCTCTGACGAGGCTCACGTACCCGTAGTGAATCATACCATCTCCGGCAGGGTCTGAGATGATGTGAGTAGATTTGTTGGCCTCGTATTGGTCTTCGCCGACTTCATGGATAATGCTGTTGGAAGCCAGGTAGCGGAGAACTCGCTCTGGATGCAGAAATATATATATATTAGGACTTCAAACACAGTACTCAGACCAGCTTTGAATAATCCTACCTAGTAACTGAGTTGTTGCACCAGATGTCTTTGCAAGATCATTGACACTCATGGAGCCCTGATGCTTGCACAGCGTGCTGAATAGATTCAGGTCGGCGCCAATGCGGATGATCGACGGTAGCAAGTTCTGTGTCTAGAGTTAGTCTCACATGGAATGAGGGTGTAGACGACCACCCCACCAAGTTCGCAATAGAATGCAACACATCCTTAGGAGAATCGAACTCTGATTGCACCTGCTGGAGAGCCTTGCGGATGTTCAATCGCCCGGCTTCGTCGGCGGCTTGCATCAGATGTTTGACTTGGGCGACGACGGAGTCCATTTTTGGGTGGACAATTGACTGATTCCGTTGATAGCCTGAAAGTACTCAAGTTGGATAATAATCACGGTCATATTCCTCAAGTATCCAGCTTTTGTACTTAATCGCCCCCCAATCGACCCTCCGCGGATTGACGGAAAGTCCGCGGCGTTCTCGCTTTGTCATTGGCCAAGCGTCGTCGCCGGCCGTGTCCTTCCTTCATCCATCATCTTCACCCAACAGAGACCCACGCAAGGTGTCTCAGCGTAAACGAAAATGCGCATTGAGAAAGAAGCTAGGCTGTCGCGACAACGGCCGGTGTCGTGCCATTTCTGTCGTTCCAGGAAGTTGCGGTGCAGTCGCCAATTCCCCTGTCCGAACTGCACCAGTCGCGGTCTGAGCTGCCAACTATATGCCTCCTCGCCTTTGCGGGCCAACAACCCTTCTGTTGTTGGCAATCAACCAGAAGTTGACAATGAAGATATTCTAGCACGCGTGTGCAGACTCGAAGACATTGTTATCGGTCAGAGTAAACCGACCGCCGAGAAAACACTTGAGACCGAATTTCCGCTACAGTCTTCATCTCGTTTCAGAGGCCAGCGCCCCTACATACCGAGGCAAGAGCAACCTTCAACAGCTGACGCCGACTGGCTTGAGAAAGCGGTCACTTACCCGACTTCAGCGGTACGTTCTACTCTTTCCTGACGATTTTAACTGCTTACTGTAGGAACAGCACTTCCTTCAGGGCCATGAGATCGAGTTTAAAACTTGCCCCATTCAACAAGCTACGAAATTAAATAGTGTCAGTGACACTCCAACCTCACGATGTATTTGGATTCCTCTCCAAGAAGAGTCTGAAAAAGTGGTCGACAAGTACCTTTCTGACATCACGTACTTGCACCATGTCGTCCATAGACCTTCAGTCCGAGCACTCGTAAACGAACTTTATGATGATCTCCACCAGAATAAACCAATAAAGCTTGGGTACGTCTCCTTGCTCTTGGCAATACTGGCTAGCACCACGTCTTTTTGGACTGTGCGCGATATGGACGATTCGCCTTTCTCTAGTGTGGAGGAGGCAAATGAACAGTCTATGTCATGGGCGGAGGCAGCTTTCGAGGCACTGGAATATTCGCGCCGTATGGACTGCGAATCTATTGAGGACATTCAAGCCATGTTAATTTTGCTGTTTGTGGTCTGCAACCTGGTCGGCATACGAGCTCAAGCTCGCCATTTGCTATTTACTGCCATCTCGGCTGCACGAGAGCTATGCTTGCACCGGATCGATCATCAGCATAATTCGAATTTCGCAAACGCTGTTCCTCCTGATTCAGTTAGGGCGGAAATAGGGAGGAGAGTATGGTGGTACCTTGTGTCGACTGATTGGTATGTCTGATTTTGTCCCCACAATTTATGGATGCTGATAAGAGAACAGGCAGCTTTCTCAGTTTGCGGGTTCTCACAAAGGAACTTATACGATCAATCCACGACAAATGATGACCAACAAACCCCGGAATGCCAACGATGAAGACCTGACTGATGGGATGGTTGTTGACCAGCCGATTGATCAGCCAACCTCCATGTCCTACTGCCTACAACGAATACGCCTGGGTGAACTATGCCGCGAGATCACTGACAATGTCCCCTTCACAACATCCAGCACTGGGGGGCCTGCTTTCGAACAAGTACAAGAAATTGACATAAAGCTCCGAGCAGTCGCAAACGAACTCCCGGCTTTCTTTTCTCTGGATACCGATCTGAGCGAACTACCCGTGGATGACTTGCGAAGGTCACCCGAAATCGTCAGTCAGCGATACATAATTAACTCTATACTGCATACCCAGAGGTGCAGGTTGCATTTGCCTTTCCTATCTCGAACTTCCACCGGCAACGCGAATTCCTACTCAAGGACTGCGTGCCTGGACGCAGCCCGCATGGTGATCCGTGCCGAGGCACAATTGAGAAAAGAGAGATTTCCGTTCGTGCTGACTCGGTTAAAGTTTTCCGGTGTCTTGCACTGTATGTGCATGGCCATAGTAGTTCTCTTGTTGGATCTTTGTCTCAACAAAAGCAGTCGATCAACGGAAGATCAGGAGCGTCGTGGCGAGATTTTCGATGCATTTGGCATTCTTGAAGAAGCCAAGGGCGATTCACCGTTTGCAAAACATTTGCTTGACTCATTTATGACTATCCTTCGCCGGAATAAAGTGTCGCTACCAGAAATGGAAAACACCATTACAGGTCGCCCCGGTACCGAACCTTGCGAGTCAGCTTCCAGACCTACCGATCGCCCGGACATGCCGATGGGTTCAAATTCCATGGACCTTAACACCGACACTACTCTAATGGATTCGTCGCTAACGTTCTTCGGTGACGTTTGGCAAACGTTCGACACGAGCATCGGCGCGAACACCTTCGATTGGGACACCTTGTTTTCCGAGCTGGACTCTTCATTACTGTCGACATGAATACAACTTCTGTGGTTCCATTGGGATATCTAGATCATAAATTGCCAGCGGAATACTCCAGGGTCAAATACAACAGTGATCATGGGCGTCCTCCTTGGCTCACCTTCCCAGCTGCCCTCTCACGCAATGCCTTAGAATATCTGTTACAAAAGAAAGCAAGAAAGGAAAAATAGGTAGACAGAAACAAGAGATCAAGATTAGATTTCATGCATTGAAGAAACAGAACAGAATTGACACCGACACAATAGATTCCCGTCTCGACTGGATCACTGAATAACAAGACAGACCTTTCTTAACGTCTTCATACGAGATCTATGTCATTTTGACAGGTCATGGTCTCCTCAGCGTTAAGACCCGCTCGGCTCACTTGGTGTGGCGTGAGATCGACATGGCATGCCAGGATAAACTTGGCACTGGCGTCAGCGCTAACTTTAAGCGACCAGAAACAACCCCAACGGCTGTGCCGGTGTGAATTGGAACTGGAGACAATGATGGCATTGGCGCTTTAGACGTTGTTCATCGATTACGGAAAATCAACGGCATTATTTCGCTCATCGCCGAGATCCATTATTCGATTGAACCGATTCGGAATGCAGCGGAAAGCACCGCCTCATAGAACTTAAGAGTCCCGAAATGAAGTCACGCATTACACATCAACATTGTGCCTGGTTCCTGAATACCTAGGCAGACGTCCCTGTGAATGTAGTCTACTATGCCTAAACGCTTTGTGATATATGGAGATATCTCTACTATACCATTGGAATCTCCAAAGGACGCCAGTCAGCCACTACTTGAAGAGTTCTAGAAACCCAAGAAGCCTAACACTGTGCGCAGCCTTATCGAGCCGGGAGTGATGCCCGGATCGGCGAAGTGACATGGATCGGCGTCTTGACACGCGTCGAGGATCGGACGCTTCCTAATCCACCACATCCTCCATGATATCCAGCGCATGCCTCGAAGCCAGATACAAGATTGAGCATGACGTTTCTCATTGCCAATTTGTTACTATCTCACACATTATTCTATGTTTGGCATTCTGGCAACAAATAATAAAAATAATGTGTGTGTCCAGAGAGCGGCCAACTCTGGGTCCAACCAGACGAACAAAAATAGCTGGTCATATCGTTGGCGGAATCGCGCTCGGGGATCCACCGGCAATGAATCGTACCAGGAGGCACCAGGAACGTTCCGGAATCCCACGATCCGACCCAGTTGTGGTGTGTTCATTGCCCCCGCTGTGTTGGAACCCAAATCCTGCTTTCATTATGATTGTCGCACAGGCGCACCAAATTGGCAGTGCAATCCACCGAGTTTCCCAATGGAGTTGCACAGCACTCAGACCATTTGGCAGCCACTTCTCAGAGTTTGACACTGGGACTATCAACCCCAGTGGATGCGATCAAACTTTCTTGAAGGGCCTAGCCTCCGAGTGTCCTTGAGAGGCATAGGTGATTCTTTGGCTTTTAAAAATTGAGCTATAGTCTCCCCCTGAACTCTGCGTATTTACCCTTAGCTGCTCCAGGCACCAAATCTGGAGATCCTCCACGAGTACCTCGATCAGCCGTATGCCGACCACCCGGAACAGACGAGTGGGAGTCAATGAGAAGGCCGAACTGTGCCGACTTACCGTGGAACCGCCGCTTCCATCCGCTTGACCCGGATTTCGGTCAGCCTGCGTCTTTCGTAGTCGTACACTCGAGCTGGTTTCCATGGAAGAAGCTGCATTTGCCACTGGAATCGCGGTGCCTGCACAGATGGGATCCATACTAATCGAATGGCTTCTGTGATAGGCTCCGGGGACCCACCACTGCCCTGTCTCTTTCAACGGCAGCCATTAACCGCTGTTCTGTCAGTGGAGCATCGAGTGTGGCCACTTCTCCACATCTCGCAACAGTGATCTTTTCTTGGAAATGACGTTTATTATGTTACGATGTTGACCTGTCCGGCTGGTTCGGGCCTGTGATTATTTGCTCTCTGAGACAGAGACTTGATCCACTCTACCCACAGCCAACGGCATCGAGCCAATGCAATGACAATCGGCCAACAAACTGCCTTTCCATTTTTTGCTTGACTTTCTGGAAATACCGGATCCTTGTGGCTCAAGCAGCCCCGGAGCCACATGTCCTGATTCGTAACGAAGTAACCTAATCCACTGCTCGTTATAAATATCCCCCATTCTCCAAATCGTCGCCCCCAATAATCCCCTGTTGATCTACACTCAGAGGCGGATAATAAGCTCATAAGATCTATCAAGAGCTTCTTTGAAAGGGTTTTGTTCATTCGTTCTTTGACCCCTCCGCCATCTTCACTCGCTACTCGGCACCATGAAGACCTTCGTCACCCTCGCAGCCTTTGCTGCCGGCACTAATGCCTTGGTTGGCCGCAGCAACTCCTGCTGCTTCCACCTGTCGGCTTCTGGTGGTGTCTCAGGCCCGATGGGCCAGCTGGACGATGGCCAGACCCGTGTTGGAGACAACTCTCTGTCGCCAGCTCAATTCTGCCTCAACTCGTCCAACGGCACTATCACTGATAGCAATGGCCGTGGCTGCGTCATCACCTGTGAGTACTTCACTAATGATCATTTTAAAAAGGCGATACTGACGATCTATTCTAGCCGAAACCACCCAGTTCCAGTGTGATGAAGGCGCTGCTCCCACCCCAGGTTTCTCTATCAACTCCCAGGGCGAGCTGGAGTTCCAAGGCAGTGACAACTTCATTGCTTGCGAGACTGGCGAGAGAAACGGCCGGAACATTTACACCACTGACAGCTCTGATGTGACCATGTGCAAGCCCGTGAACCTGCACGCTGACTCTTGCTCGAGCTCTGGTGGTGCCGCTTCTTCGTCTGCTGTGGTCACTCCGGTTCACTCGACTATCCCGGTCTCTTCTGTCCCGGCTTCCTCTGTGCCCGTCTCATCTGTTCCGGTCCCTGAGTCTACTCCTGTCGCCTCGCCTTCTGGATACCCTGGCTCTGGCTCCGGCCCCTCTGTGCCGGCCCCTGAGTCTACTCCTGTCGCCTCGCCTTCGGGATACCCTGGCTCCGGCTCCGGCTCCGGCTCCTCTGTTTCGGCCCCCTCCGGCTCGGGCAGCCCCCCTCTGGCGGGCTCGCCATACACTGTGCTGACCACGGTGACCGTCACTGACTGCAGCTGCTCCGCTACCCCTGGTGCTCCTGCTCCTGGTGGCGAGTCGTCCATCCCTGGCTCGCAGCCCTCTGGTCCCGCCAGCGGCTCCCCAGCCCCGGCTCCCACCCCCATTGTGTCGTCTCAGCCTGGTGGCCCTGCTAGCATTCCTGTTTCCTCGCCCAGCGTCTACCCTTCGGTCCCAGCTAGCGGCTCCAGCGTCCCTGCTGGCTCGCCCTCGGCTGTTCCCTCTGCCACCGGCTCGTCCAGCGGCAGCTGCCCTACTGATCTCTCGGGCGACTATGAGTACCCGCACCTGATCATTCCCGTCGACTCGTCCTCGCCCGACACTGCCTCCGGCACCTCGTACAATGGCACTGTGACCTCATCCGTCTCCAGCCTGTTCAACTTCGACATCCCCTCGTCGGACGCTGGGAAGACCTGCAGCCTGGTGTTCCTCTTCCCCGAGAAGCAGGATCTCGAGACCTCGTCTTACAGCTTCAGCGGTGACGGCCAGATCGACTTCGCTCAGCTCTCGTCGCCCGCCACCTCGTCCACCTCGTATAGCAACATGCCCTCTGTCTCCCAGGACTTCGGTACGACCACCGTCTCGCCCGGCAACTCGTACGTGATTTCCACCTTCTCGTGCCCGGCTGGCCAGACTGTCGGCTACGAGATGAAGAACGCTGGTTCTACCGACCTCAACTTCTTCGAGGACTACAACCCCTCGCCTCTGGGTCTGTACATCACCGTCTGCTAAATTAGTGCGTCCCTCGTACAATGCGGCTGCTGTGGACCGTGTCATTTCATCATCTCTGATTTAATGTTTGATGTCAATATTCATGTGACCCAAGTGATCATGTTTCCTTTTTCCCTACTGCTTCTGTGTTGCAAAAGTTGTGCCCAGCAGACCACATGGACTGGTGAATTGTCCTGTGGATAGCATCTTGTATCTGGGTCATTCGCATCCAGAGCAAAACACTCCTTCAACTGCTGTATTATTAGAAATACGATCTTTTAGTTCGTTGAATTTTATAGATTAAGATATTCATTCCACTTTCTAGCTAGAACGTTATACCCTCTACAATTGTCTCCATCAGAGTCACTGCCTTTCTAGCAATATTTCTGCATTCTTCACTCAATCCACTCCTTTCCTCCTTTCCCATCGGATTCATCGGCAACGTCTCCGTGAACTGGTCGTGAGCCTCCCAGTCTTCAGGCTTCAGTGTCAAAGACGATCACGATGGATATTTAAATAATAAGCCAGAAGATAAGCTGAGAAAGTTTGTGGTTTGTTGAGATTTCAAGGACGGGGAAGGGTAATGAAATAAGGGATGAGTTAGTGAACTATAATTAGTGCTCAGTTACTCTCATGTCAATTTTGCAACCCCATTTACATAGTGTGCGCAAGATTCTTATTTCAAGTTCAGCCACAGCACGATGAAACAAGTGAAAATCGAAAAACCAATCAAATTCCTGTTCGCCACGCCCGCATCGCCTGTTGACGCCAGGTTAGCCGCCAGATCAGGGACAGTTAGCGCCGAGGCTGATGGTAGCAGCAGGCTCACACTTCACCAGGAAAACCAAGCAATTGACGATGCAGAAATACCCAGCTCCAAGTCAGAAGCAAACTGCGGGAACTGAACACGAAGAGTCCTGAACTGCTCTTCACCCAGTTTCTGTCCGCGATTTTCGATATACCTCAAGACAGTGGGGACAACCAGAGATGACCGGAAATCATCAACTGGCAGCTGATTCCACGAGCACGGCTTCTTGCTTCCCGTTGTGTAAGCTTTCATCGAATAAACCTCAAGCACAATTCTCTGGAGAACAGGGAGGGAGGCACCTTCAATTGCAAGACAGAATTTCTCCTGCGCCATATATCGCAGATCTTCGAGGCCTAGAAACATAGCTGAGCGGATCATGCCTAGATGGAAGGCCAGGAGACGGGCGTGGTTGTAGCAGGGCCAGCAAGTCAAAAGTGGACCTCCGAGGAACTTTTGACAGAGGACGTCGTGTTCTGCGACAGAGTAGCTTCCCGTGTACAAGAAGTTGACGATCTGTTCCATGTGTTTCGGGTGGACGGGGTCTGGGATGTTGAGAACTGGGAGCAGTCCCGTGTTAGCAATGATCGGGTCAGGTTCCTAGCATTGTCAGCTCATATTGTCCAGGAATTCATTGGGGATTCAAAACTTACCAGATAGGGCTTGCATCTGCGGAAGAGATAGGGGGACTGGTAGCACAGCATGTGCGCATGTACCTCGAAGTTGTCGCTCCATCGATGTCGAATGACGAGATCAGGAGGGAGCAGTTCATGGACCCTACCCCTGTGTTAATTTGAATCTGCGAGAAGGAGGCAGGCTTACCATTTGTGTGCCGCTTGGATGGCATCCCGCATCACGGTGCCCTCCCCGGGTCCCAAGTACATCCTGGTCGTGTTCTTGTGGGCATTGCATGGGCCAATAGGTCTTTGCTTGTCACTCATTGTACAACAAGCCCGATCGGAGAAGTCTAGTAAACTATCAGCATCCAACGTCAAGTCGAAGGTCTAGACGGAGGGGACTTGGAGTCGGTTGTCCACGGCATGGGGGTTTGTTTAATAGCATCCTATCGAGGGCCATCTACGGCCTTATGAATTCTTGGTCTACAAAGAAGAGCCATTTCTCATATATCGTGTTTCTTTGAGAATAAAAGCAACAAAGGGTTGTCTCTAGAGGAACAATGCCTAGACCTTGGCGCCTAGCAAGAGCAGGGGTATAAATAGAATGGATAGTATACCAAGACTCCAGGCTGAAACAATAATAATCGACCGAGAGGGACAAAGAACCACGCAGGCCAATCACACCGGGTCAGTGACAGACTTGAGGGTGGAGCCCCGGGCGGCGCAGTCGGGCGCGTGGATCTCCTGTGAGGCTAGACCCTGTTAAACAGGTACTGGTACCTGAATTGCCGTCCACTTGTGGCGGCAACCCAGGTACCAGTACACGTGCCCAACTTAAGCTTTTGTGTTCCGCCGCTACACGCGACACTCATCTTTCTTTTTTCTTTCTGTTCTTTTTCTCTGTGCAGCACACACATACATTCCTTCGCATCTATGGAACTCCCCGCCAAGTTGCCCTTCTCCAAGCGGCTACTGCGTCCGCGCATTGTTATCTCGTGTGTATAATCTCCCTGTATTCCCGATCGAATCCGTCACTGACAGCTTTCAGGTACATCTTCGACTATGTCATTCTCATGTGCGTCGAAACTGATTCTTCAATTGGTGCGCCCTGCTAACCTGGAATCAGTGCTTGCATCATTGGCTTCTACATCCTCGACTCCATCGAGCCATTCCACCAGCACTTCTCCCTCCGCAACATCTCCCTCCAGTACCCGTACACCGTCCACGAGCATGTTCCGATGGCCCTCGCCCTTGCCATCTCGGGACTATTTCCCATCATCCTCATCATTATCTACACCCTCGGGATCGATGGCCTGTTCTCGCACCACAAGCAGGATCCAACGTCGGGGAGGAGAAAGATGAGAGGCCCGTATCGGTGGAAAGATCGCCTGTGGGAGCTGAACTGTGGTATTCTAGGCTTGTTACTAGCGCAAGGTCTGGCCTTCGTGATTACGCAAGTGCTCAAGAATGCATGTGGCAAGCCTCGACCCGATCTGATCGCAAGGTGCCAACCGCCGGAAGGAAGCCATGATGCGATTCCGGGCTTATCGAACTACACAATCTGTACGGGAGACCCGGCATTGATCAAAGATGGATTCCGATCTTGGCCGTCAGGTATGTCGTCTCAGATGTGTTAGTTGATATGAAATGCTAATAGGCCCAATGTAGGTCACAGCAGCTGTAAGCATCTTTGAACTACACTTTTCCCTCGATACTGACTGATTATTCAACCCCAGCATCCTTCGCCGGCTTAGGCTATACAGCACTCTGGTTAGGCGGCAAGCTGCACGTCATGGATAACCGCGGTGAAGTCTGGAAGACCTTGCTGGTCACGGTCCCTCTTCTCGCGGCAACCCTGATCGCCGTGTCGCGCATCATGGACGCGCGCCATCATCCATTCGACGTGATCACCGGCGGGCTTTTGGGCCTCATCACCGGCTACGTCTCCTATCGCCAGTACTTCCCTCCGATCACCGAGGCCTGGCGCAAGGGACGTGCTTATCCGATCCGCACCTGGGGTACCGACCCCGTCGATCCTTACGGGGATACCAAGATGGGCCGGTTCAATGAGAGCAGGGCTGCTCTGCGCAATCCCGACGAGGAGCACCTGGACCCGGTGCAATCCAACACCTCGGCGGCACCTTACCTAGGATCCACGAATCCATTCGTTTCCCCTGCCTACCCACGGCGGCCGCATGATCACGATCCCGATGGCAACTGGTCGTCCAGCGAGGATGATGTTAGCAATGTGTATGAGATGCAGCGTGGGTATGCGGCGGCACCAAATCCGGGGGCTGGTCGGTCTTCACCGCAGAACACTGGGTATCCACCACAGACGATGCCGACTGGGGATCTCTCTGCTCCATCGGTGGTGGTCAGTCATCCGGCCTAACTGGTTTTCCATTGCATTATGTTGGGACAAAATTTGTACCTCTAGCGTCGCATTAATTTGATAGCGTTGCTGTTTATTGAGCTAAGCTTCCCGATTCAGGGTTATCCTGAGCTACTGGACCTAGCCACGTCCAACTCCCCCCTATGGGGTAGGGCATTATAGTCCATACACCATACTAGCAGACTATACAGATGTTTATCGCCATTAGCTTCTCCATCTTAGGAGGTACATGGAAGCTAATGAAAGTTCATCGGCAGAGCCATTGCGTCCCTACTTTGAAGATTCTAACACTAGACGACATAGTATTGACTATTAAATAGACTTAACATGCATTGTTTCCTGGGATTGGAAATGGCGTTTGTTGAGACGTTCAATGACTAGATTACATGCTCGATTCTGCGACGTAGCTGCTAGATGGACTGGCTCTGTGATAGACGGAGTACTAGTAATGTGAAGATTCGCCGAAAGCTCTTTGGTACTCGCCACCTGTTGTGTCTTTTTGATGGTTTCAATCACCCCGGGCAGTCGGAAAGGTCGCTCAGTTGACCGAAATTGAACACGTGATGGCATTTGGGTTCCAACATTGGACGTCTCCGAGGCAATGGGCACCCGTGTAGATGTTGAGGCCTGAGAGGCAGCTACCATAGGCAAATTCTGGGCGTTGTCTGCGCAGCAGCAGTTGCTCATATCCGTGGCTATCGGGACAAGCGAAGAGCCTAGCAGGGACGCAGACGATGCTCGGTCAGGCAGTGTGAAGGTATCTGGGGTGGTTGACATGGCAGCTTGAACATTCTGCATAAACTGGGAAGCTATGCTGTTGAGATGCGACGCCTGTTGCAAAAGCTCGTCTATCTTCTGTGTCTGGCGTCGTCCATCTTCTTCGAGGCGGTTGGTAGCAGACCTAAATCAAAGTGTTTAGACGGGGTTCCGACCTGAATAGATATACGACTAACCAAATAAAAGTGTTCAAAACAAGGTTGATCCCGTCCGTATGCGCTTGGAGCTTTTCCCGATAGCGACTGAGAGAGTCCCCTTTGAGGTCCCAAAGAAGTCTTCGCCATTGAATCTTGGTCTGCGCTCTGAATTGCTGCGAAAACGGCAGGCTAACGACACTATACTGGGAATTTGGCAATGAGGGTGGATCATGAGCTGCTTCACGGTACTTTCGTGTCACTTTCTCGAGTTCATTCAGGGTTTGAAGGCATGAATGAATCATGGACTCGAGTTGCTGCTTCATGCATACCGTATCTTCGTTGGACTTTCTAGTGGTTCTCGAGAAGATGGTCTCAGTTGCGATTTGGAGATTGTTCAAAGAACAGTATAAACCGAGCAGAACACTCTCGAGTTCTCTTAGATCGCGGGGCGCTGCCTTGCGACCACGTGTAACAGCAAAGAATAGCCGATGGGCGATCTTCATGCAGAGTATAATGTCGCCGACTGAGAAACCGAAGGACATAATGACTCGAGCAGATGATATGGAGGGAGAACCGAATAATTAGTGTATTTGTCCCCCGCTGAATTGGAAAAAAAAAATTGGTTTCCATGGCCGTTGTATAGATAGGAACGGGGATTTATAGTTACCCTACGGGCATCATCGGTCAAACAACCCCCTGTCCAACGCAGTGTTTCTTTGCGGGCTGCCAAGCTTATAGTGCTCCACTCGCTCTTGAGATCGGGGAGAGTGGCTGTGCACTTGTGGTCCTTGGGTGGACCGCCCTGACATAATCGACGCTGATCCAGGGAGGAGGTGGGGCTCCGCCACGAATTGGGCAGCGAACTGGGACATCTCGTATATGGATCACTCGTAGTCATGTGATCGCACTACTATATATTTACTTGTCCACTCCACTACTATTCTCGAATACAACGTACAGCATCTGGGAGTTAACGATAGGCGTATCCACTAGTAAACCTACCAGGTAGTCAGATGTGACAATGATAGAATAGCCGATGGACGATCTTCATGCAGAGTATAATGTCGCTGACTGAGGTACCGAATGACATGATGACTCGAGCAAATGATAGATGGCGAACGATAAGTTGGAGGGAGGAACGAATAATTAGTGTATTTTTGCCCCGTTGAATTGGAAGAAATTGCCCATGGCCGTTGTATAAAAGGAGCGTGGATTTATAGTTAGATCGCCCCGACGGGATCGAAACCTATGGGCATTTACACAGCCACCGCGACATGCGAACCGGACCTGCCCTGTGCTCACGTGAGACGTCCTCCTACGTTCACCATGTAGACTCCCGCAAGTAAAAAAATGATATTCACACTGTTTTCCCGAACCTCCACAATATCTACACACCGCTCGAGGAAATCTTTAAAGAAAGTCCTGGCCGGCATGGTCATGCCAGTTCCTCCCGACAAAGCCTTCTAGTTTTGAGAAGAAGTCGTCAGTCGTGTTCAGATTAGGAGACTAATTTAGAAGATATACCAGCTTCGCTCCAGCATTTTCGCAAAGAGCTCTGAGTCGATCACCGTTGAGGAAAGACGCGTTTTCCATAACATAAGGACAGGCTTTGGCTCTGGCCATCTGCCGCAGCAATGGAGAAACTGTTCAATGAAGTTCTCGAACACGTCAGCGGCAGTAGACCCTTGGAAAACCCGCAACAATAGAACGCCATCCTATAGATAAGAAAGCGCTTTCGGAAATCACCTACGCTATGGTATCTTCGTCATGGATCACAAGATCTGGCTTGAATGCTCTGGGTTTCTGCCATGGCAAGCACGATCTGTACGCCAGATCCTCAGTACATGTCTGTGACTCCGCTGAGAGTATGCCTTCCTCTTTTTTTTTTTTTTTTTTTTTTTTTTTTTTCATCCCAGATACAGATGCATCAGCGTATGATAGTCCAACAATGCTACTGGGAACGAGCAACATATCGCCTTCTCTGTGGATCGTGGCCCTATCATCTGGCCCGTGACTGAAGGTATCCTAAGTCCTTGCCCTGCTGAGGCAGGTAGCCCTGAGAGTTCACGACAGCCGTGTTAGCATACCCCAGTGGCATTACACAACACACAGCTAGGTCTTTTGGTGGGTGGTGATCAGTCATCCGGGTCGAGGGCGGCCACTTACAGATCCGGCCTCCCCGGGGTTTTTATTGCATTGTTTCAGGATGAAATTTGTACCTCTAGCGTCGCATGCATTTGATGAATAAATAGCGTTGGTGTTGATTGATCCGAGATTCCCGATCTGAGTTAGGGTTGTCCTCGACCCGTGGCTGGGACGGCGCATGGACCACCGGCTGTTGGCCCGACGATAATCGTGGCTGCACAACACTATTCCTCCGTATAGTTGCCCAGCCACCCTGGTCGGTCCCAGCCTCCCCCCCCCCGCCGTCAGCAATATGACGCTCGTAGTATTTCTGTCATTCTCTGCTTTTTTTTTCCTTTCCTTTCCTTTCCTTTTCTTTTCTTTCCTCACCTCTCCCCTCCCCCTTACCTCTCTCTCCTGTGTGTCCTCGAGGGTTGCAATCGGAACGGCCTTTAATCCACTACCAACCCTGCAACCCATGCCGTCGTTCTAAAAACCTCGGGACATTTTGCAATCCATCTTATCTGCGCGCGCATTCCTCGGATCTGATCTGACTCCTTGACCACTCCACACCACACCCGACAAGATGATTGGCAGCGTCTTCTTCATCTTCAACCGCCTGGTGGAGATCACCTTCCTGATCCCCATCATCGGCATGATGGTGCGTCCTCCCCATTTGATTTCTTGCATCCCCAGCTAACCCGACCGTGAAATTGCAGGCCTGGTTCGTCCACGGCTACGTCCAAGCCAACATGCTGACCCCACCCTACATCCTGGTCCTGTTCATCGTCAGCGTCATCGCTGTCTTCTGGGCCTTTGACACGCTCATCCGCTTCTCCACAACCAAGCGCTCTGCTCTCTTTGTTGCCTTCCTGGACCTGTGCTTTTTCGGCTCCTTCATCGCCGGTGTCTACCAGCTGCGCTTCATCGCCAATGCCGACTGCTCCCACTGGGACGGTGGCAGCGCGTGGGTCTCGCTGGGCCCGTTCGGCGAGTTTGGCTTCCGCACGAATAACGATCTGTCCCTGCATATAAACAAGACCTGTGCGATGCTGAAGACCTCCTTTGCGTTTGGCATTATGGAGGCGGCCTTCTTCCTCTGGACTGCGTTTCTGGCGCTCTTCTTGCATAAGAAGAACCGCGACGTTATTGTCAAGGAGACCACCGTGCGGAGACGCAGCCATTCCAGTCGTCGCGGATCCGGCTCACGACATCGGCATCATAGCTCCAGTCGCAGACCGCATTATGTGGTTTGAGAAGGTGGAGAGATGGGATTTAAGGGATTTTTTATGATTGTTTTTACGATTTGACTGGACGTACTCATGAGCGTAACGGACTGCAATGATCTTGGAGGAAAGAAAAGATGGATGGATGTCTGGTGCGAGATCCAGGAGTGTACCTTCTATATCTTGTTTTTGATAGCAAATAGTTTTCATGTTCATTAATCCAATTCACGGCTCAAGTCAATCACCTTTCTTCCTCTTTCCTTCTCTTGGATTCCTTCCTCACCCGCCTTCTGTCGTCCATCCTCCATCCTCGCGTCTTCCTCCACACTACCCTCACGACGTCCTGTCTTCCTTTCTTTCACCAGTCTCTCGTCAGACGGGCTCTTTCAGAAAGACGCAGACGGCGTCACTCTCAAGCGCTGCAGCAAATGCAAGACGGAGTGCTACTGCTCGCGTGAGTGCCAGAAAGCGGACTGGGCGCGCCACAAGCCGTTCTGCCGCGATCCAGCGGTGCGCGAACAACTCAACAGAATGTGGAGAAGTGCAAGTTCTGTGGAAAGAAAGAATCACTCGACGTCTCTCTCACGCGCTGTGGCAGATGTGTGACGCAATACTACTGCTCGCGCGAGCACCAGAAGGCCGACTGGCCGAACCACAAGCACTTCTGCCGCGAGCCAGCTGCTTACGTCTATTCTCCCCAGGTCCAAGCTCCTCCTAGAGGTCTATCGGTGTACATCGAAAAACCATTCCACAGATTGAATGAGAAGGCCTGGCTGCACAACCGCTCTGAGCAAGATGTCTATATGCTGCTGATAGACGCCTACCGTCTTCGCATGGATGATAACTGGACGCGCCACCTCCAGACAGAGAGTGACAACATCTACGGGGGAGCCCCCAATTCATGTGCCAGCTTTCTTCGTTTCCTGCGCCTGGTGGAGAGTCGCGACAATCTACTTCCTGCATGGTGGTCGCCCGAAAAAGCTGACGAGTGCATGGCTTCTAGGAATGGGTGGAACATGGTACTCGCTTACGTACGGCCCTGATTCAGCTCAAATTGCGTGGTTTTACGCAGATGTCAACATCGTGATGCAACTGAGGCTGTTCAATGAACAGGTCTACCAGACTGGGATTGGAGGCTCCCCTCGAGTGACCGGCCCCGAAGTTTGGGACATGGCGATGATGAGTGAGACAGGGTAGGCGACTTGAATCATTCCAGACAATTCCCCGTGTCGTTCTTGAGCGCATAGGATGAGGCAATTTTTGAGGATGCTGCGGGACGGAGCTAGTTTGGAAAATGATCGCCTGGGATATTTGCCCTATCGTCAACTAGTTAGTATTTTGCACGGCAATTTGAACACTGGATTCTAATTCTGAAGCCCTCGTTTTTCTTTGTTGTAGATCATAACTCTCAGGCACACGGCTAAATAAGAGTTCTTTCAGGTTGGCCACCCAAGGATAAGGACATAATGCCAAGGACGCTGATAAGCTGCAGCACCTCCGCGGAGATGTCTTCACAACCAACTCTCTATCAGCCTCGATCGATAAGGTCCAGCATGCTGACTCGTTACCTCTCCATACGTGCCGATCTGGAGTGTCGATCGTGTTCGATTGCTGTGAACGTCTCGGAGCATGGTCCGCCATATGAACCATTCGCAGTTCTTGACAAGGACCGCCTGTCTTATCAGAGTTCAATGGCTTGTGCAGCCAAGTCCGGAGCAGACAGGGGCATGGATTCTCTGAATATCGCCAAGAAAGCAGACCGAGTCTGCAAGCGACATGAAAAGTGCTAAGCACCATGAACATACCGAGATATTTAAACAGCAGGGCGGCCCTGCATCGTTGCGATCTTGTTTCCGTTCCATCGGTATCATCAATTCTATTTTGCCCAGAGATCCATCCAATTGGGTATCATCATGACTCTCGACGCCTTCACCCCTCGCGAGGTGATTGAACTCGTCGCGCGCGCTGGCGTGGACAAGGGTAACATGCGCCTTGATAAGGTGTTCATGAGCTCCGTATCTGCTGGCTGTCTACTTGCCTTTGCGTGTGGAACTGCTCTCAGCACTAATGCGACGCCATGGTTCCAAGACAATGCCGCGGGTCTGATGCGCACTATCGCCGCTTTGGTCTTCCCCTACGGCCTGTGCATGATTATCTTGACTGGCGCAGACCTTTGCACCGGCTCCTTCATGGTATGAACTCTTGTTGCTGTACTATGGGATATAGAGACTGATTTGTCTAACAGTATACCACTGTCGCTGTTCTACAACGACGTCTGCCCTGGTGGAAGGGATTGATCCACTGGGCAGTGACTTTTCTAGGAAACCTCGCTGGGTCTCTATTTGTCGCTTGCATTGTCTTCGGCTGTATGTGTTCCCCATTCCGCTTGATCTTCATTGCTAATACGAATGCCGATAATCAGACGGCGGTGTTTTTTCCGACTCGACCTTCAAATCCGCTGTTCAAACCTTCGCCACAAAAAAACAGGTCATCCCCGATTTCCATATGATCTTCCTACGCGGCATTGGCTGCAACTGGCTGGTCTGTCTGGCATGTTTCTTTGGTATGCAGGGCCGCGACCTGGCGTCGAAAGTCATTGGTATCTGGTGGCCTACTTTTGCCTTTGTTTCGCTGGGGTTTGATCACGTTGTCGCTAATATGACATTTATCCCGCTGGCTATTTGGGTTGGAACCCCTGGTATCACGACGGGTTTGTATATCTGGAAAGGCATTATCCCTACTCTTCTCGGGAATATCCTTGGCGGTGGGCTATTTGTTGGTGAGTGGAGTGGCGTGCTCTGTGAAACTTGAGAGCTAACACCCTACTAGGAACCTACTACTGGTACATGTACCTTTTAGACTTGAATACTCTTCCAATCTATGGATTGAGAAAGTCAGGGGTCGCCACACCACAGTCTGAGCCTATCGCCACAAAAAGAGACGATATTGAAGCATCGGCTGGAGCCTTGGACGATTCGGTTACTCCCAGGGTGAGCGGTTAAATCGGTCAGTATCGAATGTGACTAAGATTTCCGGTATCTGCTTATTGGCAACTTGAATATGGCTCACTAACGGGGAGCTTCATCTCTACGCCTATCTGTACTTACTCATTAATTAATTTGATGCTTGAACACAATGTGTAAACCGGCGAGTGAACTAAGGCACCGAGGGCATGCCATTTCTTATAAATGTTCTCCAATGGCAAGTCCTCGTGCAGAGTCAAATCGTGCCGCTGGAATCAAGTAGTAACCTTTCTGGTTCGAGAGAATATGTTTGCCATTCCCATCCAAAAAGTCACAGTTGTAATGAGTATGACCAAAAGCCCAAGCTGCCACTGCCCGAGACATCCAACATGCTTCTTGGCTTAAGTCCGTAGCAAACCCTGTAGACACCTCACTGCCAGCTTGCCTAGGGTCCATACATCTTGGATCCGTACTCGGGCTATGGTGAGTGAAGATAATAACTCTTCGGTAAGGCTCATCCTTGGCAATTGTTGAAACTTAGAAAAATGAACTTCCCCATCATAGACCGTTTCCTTATCTTTTCTTCGAATGCATGGATCTTGGACTTGGTCAATTTAAAGGACATATGCCAGGGCTCATGGTTGCCTAATAGAAAGAAAACAGTTGAGTATCGGGCAAGTTGGGTCTCTATAAAGGTGAAGAACTGGACATCGGCGACATGTCCAATGTCTCCTAGAAGAGCAAGGTGCTGGGCTGTTTGAGGGAATGTGAAGCTGTCGTATGACGGGTGGGTTTCAAGGTGTAAGTCCGACATGACTTGTATGGAGATGGAGCCCATGGTGAGTAATTAAGGTGACTGTGCTCGTAGGTAAATATAGCCATAGAAATACGCGATAGCGAGTCGGATAATAGCGCAAACTATAGCTCTTGGATGCCTTTTGTCTCCGGCGTGTGAGCCCAGCTGAAGCCTCAGAGAGCCTCTCATGTGACGGAAATTTGTTGTGCTTACATTAGCATCCCGTTTAGCTGCCAATCCTTTTAGCGCTAAATGCGCTGGTCGCAAAATTGTCGTAAGTGGCGCTTCGGTCTGAGATATGCCGGTCTACGCTAAAGGCAGGACACGGGTTTTATCATGTCACCAATAAAGTCATGGTTTCCACCGCTCCCCGTCTAAAATTTCGGTTAAACAAAAACGCGAATGCTCTTAGCACAATTAGCTTGCAAACAAGCATACAAATTGTGCCATTGTGACCCCTATTTGCGTCATCGGTACCGCTTCTCCAGTCGCATCGGGACATCGTCTCGGTCCAAATTTGTGGGGAAACACTAAACCGTTCCCGGCCCGCGTGGACCCATGTGCTCGCGGCCTGTCGGTTCTGGGGAAATAGCTGTAACTTGGATGGAGGCAAGGGGCGAGGAAGTGAACTCAGATGGCCGGCCGCCCAGCCTGATTGGCACATTCCACCCAGTCCTTCCGGAAAGGCTTCAGTGTACCCAGCTCCCCGAGTGGGGGACATTTCTTTTTCGTGAGGAGTAGCATGCTACTAATAGTGGGACACCATCCGCGACTCATTATAAGCCCAACACGGACTCACCTTCTTCCCAAGTATACTATCCTCTATAGCAGCAAGGCAAAGAATCCAGTTTTCTCGTTCGAGGTGTGTGCACCCGATTTCAACGGGCGGATCCCTTTTCCTACAACCTTGGAGGCCTGTGCTTTTCATGTTCTGGGCGCCATATTTCTAGTTCATGGCGTGCTCATCACCATCCTTTGCGTGCTGGAGCCGCGCCCCCTCTCCAACCCGTTGCCTTGTGTACCTGTCCTTTTTATAGCTGAGCCTCCCTGACGTGTACCTTTCCAAGAAACTTTTTTTTATCTCCCTACTGGATATATTTCGTTGTTGTACCTGGCAACCCCATTCCAGCTCTAGCTGACACGGGATCAAGCTTGTCGCACACGATCATGCCTAGGTTGAACGGAACCAGGCTCGGAGCTATCCGCGCATACTTTTTCGGTTTTTTTATCTGTACTGCCGGGTTTTTATTTGGATATGACACAGGTGTCGTGGGTATGGCATTCCTCCGCGTGTATTCCGTCGCGTGCTGATACTAATCAATCTACAGGTGGCGTCCTAACGCTAAAGTCCTACATAAAAGATTTCGGCTATACCGATGAAACAACGGTCAGCGCGGTCATGGTTAGTCTGCAGAATGCGGGCGCCTTCTTTGCAGCTTTGGGTATCTTCCCCATCTCCGAACGATTCGGGCGCAAGTACACCATCCAAGTCGCCATGTTAGTTTTCTGCATTGGTATTGTGCTACAAGTTTCTCCTTCCCACTCGCTCGTCTGCTTCTACATCGGACGCGTTGTAAGCGGAGTGGGCCTCGGTTCAGCTACTGCTGTTGTACCCGCGTACAGCGCTGAGATGGCGCCTAAAGAGATCCGCGGCATGGTTGGCGGTGGCATGCAGGGGCTCTTTGCCATGGGTGTCATGATCAGCTACTGGATTGACTACGGAGTTGAGGTTGGCTTGCCAGCGATCTCCAGACAGTGGCAGATCCCAGTCGGGCTGCAGTTGGTGCCAGCCGCAGTGCTAGGCCTTGGTCTAATCCCTATGCCAGAGAGTACGCGCTGGCTGGCTAAGAAGGGACGGCTCGAGGAAGCGTTGAAAGCTTTACAGTGGATTCGAGCAAGTGAGGGTATGTTCCTTGAGCTAATTGATGTATAACACGACTAATAGAATGATCCATCCTAGGCGCTGAAGTGAAAGCGGAATTTAATGAAATCCAAACTGGTCTTGAGGAGGAACTCCGGGCCACCGAGGGCCTCAAGAAGCGCGAGCTCCTTGAACCCGCAAACCGCTACCGGATCGCACTTGCCTTCTTCTTATTCCTAGCTCAGCAATGCACGGGAATGACCTCACTTGCGTACTTTGGGCCACAATTCTTCAAGACTCTTGTCGGGAACAACAACAGCCAGTCTCTACTCATCACGGGTCTCTTTGGTGCTGAGAAGTTCGTCACTTGCGCCACCTATCTCCTATTCTTCTCAGAAATGTGGGGACGCAAGCCGACTCTTTACATTACTGCTTTCCTAATGACCATCTGTTTCGTGATCGTGACCGTTCTCCACGAAACTACTGTTGCCACTACTCCCTCGGGCCCGACAAATTCTGGCAAAGCAACTGTGGCGATGATCTTCGTCACAAATGCCATCTACCAGTTCAGCTGGGGTCCGGTTGTGTGGCCCTATACTGCCGAGGTAGGTTCCCATTGGTTGTGGCCTCCATTATGGCGATATCCTAACTGTTGATATTAGATCTTCCCAAGTCGCATCCGCGAAATCGGAGTTTCAGTCGCCGTATCCACACAATGGCTCTTCAACTTCCTCTTCTCGCTCGTCACCCCGTATATGATCGCAGCTATGGGCAGCTACACTTTCGTCTTTTTCGCGGCTTGTGATTTCGTCATGGGCTGGGTCGTTATCTTCTTTGTGAAGGAGACTAGGGGGAAGAGCTTGGAGGAGATGGAAACACTCTTCCACAGCAAGGCGGCTTTCGATGTGGCTATGGCCAGAGACAAGGCACGGACATCTACTGATATCCACCATAATGAGGAGGCTAGACCTAGCATTGAGGCTTGAGATGTGGTTATAATATTTACATATGTTAGATACCTAGACAGTGCATGCATGAGATTCCTCTGGAAGGGATAGTGATTTGCACAATGCCCAATTTTATGGATAGAACATGAAATGTAGTTTCTACACACAGTTATTATGCTTGAAGTTCACGCCTCTTGCAGACCTCTACCACTATTTGACATGCAGTATAAAGCAATTAACCATCTCAATCGGCTATGTTCTATTCTATTCTTCCCCATCAAAAAAATATACACATCCTGAAGTGCATCTTCTCGACTGCTTCATCTCTCAGCTGGTGTGGATTGTCTGGGCGGCTGCGCCATAGGTCTTAGCTTGAGCTAAGAGTGCTTTTAAGTGGTCGACTGGGCAGTTGCAACTCCGCTTCCACCGTAGATGATAAGCAACACGAACGCCAAGACACCACCGATGGCAATGACCTTGGCCCTCGCGGGGTTGCTGCGCTGGTACTCGCCGACATGGAGACGAACGTCCGTGGCGAGAGACTGCATTTTCTCGGCACCAAGCTTGTAGTACACCAGTCCAGCGAGGGCGATGGAGTAGCCAAAGAACTGCTGGAGAGTGACGGGGTCGCGGAAGATAATCATCGAGGCGCAGACAAGCAAAATGTCCTTGAGGATACCAGCCATGGTCAGGACAACAGCCGAAGTCTTGCCAATCTAAAGGATTGTCAGTGATGGTGTTATCAAGTAGGACGGTAGATCTTACCAAAAGCACAACGGAAGCATTAAGGAGGAAAGCAACCAGTGCGTTCGCAACGAGGGTTCCCAACCCGAGGCCGTAGATATCGTTCATAGTCATTCTGGGGAGTTCAGCGAATATAGTGATAATGCCGTTGGTCACAGCGCAGGCGGGCGCATAGTAATATAGCGACACGAGGGGGTCCATCTTGAATTCAGCCGAGCTGAGCAGACGCTGAACCATGACAAGGCGCATGGCCTCGAAGATGATACCAGCGACCTGAACTGTGGGAGTGTCAGTTTGCTATCGGAAAATGAACTCAATCTAGCACATACTCAGGAATCCAGTCATCTCAAACTTGATCTCACCGAAGGAGGCGATCACAACACCGACAACAATCAGGCCCACGTTGCCCAGGGTCTTGAGGTTTGCCGGGGCAATTCCGAAGGCCCAAGTGGCCAGCAGGGTTGCCACAGCATTGGTCGCCTTGAGCATCTGGATGAACGAGACACTCAGGTAGAGGTAGGCCAGATTACCGCAGATCAGACTCAAGCTGAACATGACACCAATGGGCACAATTGCCTTGCTGTTCCCAAATCAGTTTTCATCCATTGTGTCTCGGGCTCTTCCTGTCACTCACGCGTATGTGTTCGGGTTCATCGGGACCTTGTGGCGCGAGTCGAGGTGAGGGGTGAAGCGGGCCAGGATTTGGGTCATGATGGTCGCAAAGACCATGTGCCAAGTAGTCAAGAATAGGGCTGGATGGTGCAGTCAGTACATTATTGAAATTCGATTCAGCCCCCAAGGGGGAGATGTGGCGAACAGGAAGGACTCACGGAAATCTAGGTTGAAGTACAGGTTAGCGGAATTCAAACACAGACAGTGCTGAGTGGCACTTACTGAAGTTGGCGGACGCCAGAACCCATTTGTTGAACAGGATGACGCTCGAGCTCAGCGCGATCCAGAGCCTGGGGGGTTGGAGTCTCAGTATTCGGAGTCCTCAGGGCAAATGTGAACGCGTGGTCACGGTGCCGGCAAGGTATACGAACGCAATGTAGAAAGCCGGGTGAAGACCATCGTCCGCGGGCTTGGAGTTCGCCTGGTTGGCGGGAGTGCCGCTCTCGAGTTTGCGATCATCCTGGGATGAGCGACCGTTTGCCATTGTGTTGGGAGAGGGTGAGAGTGGTGGAAATAAGGGGTGATTTGTGTATTGAGGGAAATGTTTTTGGCGAGAGTCTAGAAAAAGGAATGACAACGGTCGGCAGGGAGAAGGGCGTGATGCCTGGGAGGCAGATAGGGATGATGATAAGGGAAAAAAAAATCGGGAAGATGAATTCCTTGGATGGCGAAGAATGGGGTGATTGGGCGGGCTGTGTACACGTAACCGTTTCGCCTCCTGTCGATCATTGCGCGACGGACCCCTTTCGATAGTGCAACGCGGTAATCATCATCAAGTCGACATTGCTCTAGGACCGCAAAATAAATAAATACTGAAAAAAAAAAAAAAAAAAAAAAACAGAGAAGGAAAATGAAAACAAAATTCATAGGGCTCTAATTATTCGGTAAACAGCGGTGATGATAGATCTAGGGCAATAGAGGTGGTCATTCTCACTCTTGAGTCTTGGACGGCCCCAAATAATGGTTCTGCTGAAGTGACCGATCAAGATCAACGTGGCGGAAGGGGATTGCATAATAAGCGTGGTATCTACTCAGACCCTGTGATGAAAGTGTAACAGAGTTATCCTTGGCAGTAAGTAGTGTAATGTCCTAGTGTCGGATACTACGTAGACGGTGCGTTGTTTGATATAGATCGGACATGGGGACAATCAATTAAGCAAATCCATGTCATTTTTATATGGATCTGTAATTCCCGGATTGCATGCTGAAAAAGCCCTATTGCGACATGCATGCACCACATGTCCATCGTCTAGATACACACAGCGTCATTCGAAAAAGATGGCTGCAAGGGTGTCCCATTATAGTCTATTATGCTACTCGTAAGGTGGTGGGCTGTCCGCAGCCTGCGAATAAGAATCGTTGAGACGATACCCAGTGTGGAGCCTGTGCAGATCCATAGGTTCACGTATGTGACCTTTCTGACTGCGAACTGATGTCCATCTTGCCCAAGACACTGCCGCAAAAACTGCTAGACCAATTGTGGCGACAGCAACAGAGTATCCTATCACAACGGATCTTGATGTGTATGACCAAGTGAGCCCGATGCCACCATTGATGATAGCAAGGAATATGACAACCCATCCAAAATAACGATGCAGGATGCCATATCTGGTCGGCGACTGGGTCCTCTTGTACATCCAATGGTGCCAAAAACCCATGCCCAATTGCAATAACATCGCGAGAAGAATTATGATGCCGAGAATCTGGTGTGTGGAATCGTATGATTGAGACTTGGTGAACATTGTGCTGAGGTAAAAGCCGATGACAATGCCGATAAGACTGAGGCCAGTGGATATTGTTTGGTTTACCCAGTGCCACCGGACACTCTTTGGAAACACACGGAGCAGTATAACACCGCTAGGCATTAGGAGAATGAAGGCTCCACAGAGACATAGGGCGTGGATGATACTTGGCCAGTTGCTATCGCTTGTGACCGAAGTGAGCGACGAACCGGCAGCAGTGGTGTAGGAGGTTGGCAGTCCGCCTGAACCACCAGTTGCATGAACCATGTCCATGAAAAATTGGCCTAAAGTTCCGAATTAGCCTCGGGGGATTCTCGACTAGATCCTCCAATTCAGACGCACCATATTCAGAATGCCGCTCTAAGTTAGCCGTTTTAGAATCACTTTGAAGCATTCTAGCATTACTGCCAATTGGCCCCAGAGCAAATATCCACGACTGATCCGTCGATTTTAGATCTAATGAGCCGGTCTCCCAGTTTGTGCAGTTCGAGCATCGCGCGTTTACAGTCATCGTATTGTTTGAAATGCTGGTACCTTCCAAGATTTCGACCGCCAGTGAAGATGAATAAACTGGCTCTTGTTCGCCGGAGCTGAGACGAGGGCTTAGGGTGACGTCTTTCCAGAGAGTTTGGTTAACGGGTCCTTGAACAGGTACTCGGGCAGAACTCACTGTTTCCGCTAGTACTAGCATAAATAACCATCATGAGCGAGTTCTGCATCTCACTTCCAGTCCCGACCGCAACCCACGAGTAACTGGTCGGACCAGACAGGTGAAAGTAGAGATCGGTGGAATCATTGGGTATATTCAGTGCAAATGTAAAATCCTCAGAGGTCGACCCCAGAGGATAAATGAATATGCTGGCAGGGCTTGAAGGAGGCTGAGCAAAGGCTGGTGAAAGGATGCTTGGAAGTATTCCTGTGAACAATCGCCGTTGGTTAACCACAAAGGCCAATCTGAGTGGCTGACAGGACTTGACTGACCTAGTAAAGAAAATATTAATCCTCTCCCAGTAGGTGGCAGCATAGTTGATATCAGAACTTTGCAGTAGAGTATTGATCCGGAGGGAGAGAAAGGGACTGTGCCAATGTGTAAAGAAATATTGAAACGGTGGAAGTTCGCCGGGATTCTTCAGCATTTGGTGCAGATTGCCGTGGTACGAACTATAATTAGCAGGATGGCCTCGTAAGCCATGTTGGCTGTATGTCGAACAAGTCCATTCGTTCATTGGATATGCCAGTATTAAGTTTTCGGATCTGTGGAGCCTGGCGCTGGCATTCGTTTTATTTATTGGGACGATTGCTTACTACCAGGCTGGACAGGATTGGTGAGGCAATTTGAATTTATTGAGTAGGGAGACCAATCATACGGGCTGAGTATGTCACTGCTCTTCCCCGTCCAGGGAGGGGGTGGTGTGATGCCCGAGTGAGAGAGAAGAAAGTAGGCGTTATTATGGTCGAATCAATCGTGGAATACCAACTGGAGAAAAGCTAGGCTGGCGCGACCCAGTAGATGGGTCATACTTAAATAGAGTCTCGGTCCCTGAAAGTCTTGATTCACGGATAGAGCAAACTTTGTATTTCCCGCATATTATTGTCAACTGAACCACACGGATCGGCCTTGCGTACTAGGCCTTACTAAGCCCTCATTTCAGGGTTCAAAACTTGGTCCGCTAGTCCGAAAACTATCAGGCAGAAGAATTGGTTCGAATGGATGAGACAGCTATGAAGTGATCGACATCGGCTTATAACGATCAAGCTTCGGAATCGTCTTGGCTCGTGACAACAACCACTATGGCTTCGCGATTTCCTCATTCAACCGAATTCATCCCGCTTGAGATCATCCCAGAGGAGGATCCATCGTCTCCATTCTTGCCAAACTATGACACAGCTGCCTGGGCCAAACCCAGCCACGCCTTGCCAGTGAAGCGGTGTCTGCCAATGTGGAGATGCTCACATGTCCGGTGCAACTCGCGCCCCTGGTCCAAACGAGCACTGTTCTGTCGAGGAGTGCATCGGCCATTCTGGGCCTTTGTGACTTTTCTGTAGGTCTTCTAGTATTTTCTGCTTTCGCTCATCATAGGGGATGTAGTAATAACTGACAATCAACCCAGCGGCCTGCTCAAGCTCCTTTCCTTGTGCTGGCACGGGTTAGTCTACCTATTCCCAGAAGACCTCGACGCTGCTCTCGACGCGTGGGTGTTCCCGGGAGGCCGACCGTCTGTTTTCTCCCACTGGACGACTCATGGGGTAGTTCCCGTCGCTTGCCACTCTCACAACGATTACTGGCGCCATGCTCCGTTACATTCCGCTCTCGCCGCGGGATGTATCAGCGTCGACGCTGACGTCTACTTATCGGGCAACGAGCTTCTGGTTGGACATACGCGCCATACATTGGCACGAGGGCAAAACTTGCGCACCTTGTACCTCGCTCCGTTGCTGAAGATGCTTCAGGAACATAATACAGGATCAATAAACCTGTCTCCAAATGGGGATTCGGTAAATGACGATATTGCGGGCGTGTTTGCCAACGATCCCTCGCAATCTTTAGTCCTGGTCGTGAACTTCAAGCGAGACGGCGAGCATATATGGCCTCACCTTGTGGAACAGCTTGAGCCGTTTCGTGAAGCAGGGTACCTGACACACGTTAACGGCTCATCGGTCATTCGGCGTCCTATAACCATCGTCGTCTCTGGCGATGCACCATTTCATCGAATCATGGAACTAACTACCGCTGGTGATATTTTCTTTGATGCCCCTCTGGACGAAGTCTCTCATCTATCCCCGGATACGCCAGCAGATGAGCTCCCGTACAACGCTCAAAACAGCTACTATGCCTCCGTCGACTTCAAAAGAGCAATCGGGACTGTCAGAGGCAACCGATTTTCCCAGGACCAGTTGGCCAGAATCCGCCACCAGATACGAGCAGCGCATGAGCACGGTCTCAAGGTGCGATACTGGGGTACACCGAGCTGGCCGCGCGGACTGCGGAACCATGTTTGGCATGTGCTTGTGCGTGAAGGTGTGGACGTTATCAGTGTCGATGATTTGAGGGATGCAACCCAACAGGATTGGAGAAAACACCGCAGCTGGTTAATCTGACCATAAAGGAGGCCGCGAATCCCAAGATGTCAAGTTATTTGCTAAATTGGCTCTCAAGGGCTAGCTGGGCTGCATGGAACGTATATACGGCTTCTCCAGTTAATTTCGTCATAATATAACAGTTCACCACACACAAAAAATCTAACTACTTAAGCAATCTCAACATGAGCAGCAGTGTTCTTCTCCAATCCCCTTTCCTCCCGACGACGTTCCGCACCGGACAGACCGTTGCGCGGCAGCGACTTTTCCACCTTGACCGGGTCAAAGATGGACTTGGAGCGAATAAAGATCTCGTCGATCTCTTCGAGGGTGCGTCCCTTGGTCTCAGGGTAGAATAGGTAGAACGACACAAACGCAACTGCACTGATACAGGCGTAGACAATGTAGTACCTGTATCCAATATTGCTGAGAGCAGTTGGCGACACCTCGGCAATGAGGAAGTTGAACAACCAGTTCGTGCAGGCACCCAGGGCGGCGACCTTGTGGCGGATGGAGAGAGGGGCTATTTCACCCGCATACATAAAAGGCAGCAGGAACAAGCCGACAGGGAAGAAGAACATGGCAACGAAGTAGAAGAAGATGGCAGCTTCTCCGGCGGCCTTGTTGGTGAGGTCCGACATGAGACCGCAAAGAGCGGTTTGAGCAAGGCACATGCCAGCAGCGCCGGCCATTAGGAGCCTTCGTCGTCCGACCTTGTCGATCAGGATCACGGCTAATCCGGCACACAAGAACTGCCAAATTTGAATACAACCCGAGAAAATACGAGCTTCGATTGCGCCATAGCCAAGGTGATCTTCAAAAATCTGGGTCGAATAGAATGTTACAATGTTGACACCGGTCATCTGAGCCAACAGGGCTGCGAAAACAGCCAGGCAAAGACGATGGAACAGTCGTTCGGGACCCATGGTAAATAGCGAGGCGGAATTCTCTTTCTCCTCGAGATATGTCTCACGGATAACATCCAGCTCCTGGTTCACCAATTCTGAGTCCTCCGGCATATCCTCAAGAGCACTCAAAACTTCGCGAGCATTCTCCATGCGGTCACGCTTGACAAGCCATCTAGGAGACTCGGGCAAGAACATAATGAGGGAGACGACAATGATGGCGAAAAGGGCCTGGAGGGCGATGGGAAAACGGAAGTTGACCTGGCTGTCCTTTGCAAAGAAGAGGCCAAACTCGATCCATGTCGCGAGGACGATGCCGCCAATGGCAAAGAATCCCTGCGTCAGGACCATTCGGCCACGGGCATGCGCACTGGCGCATTCAGACACATACATGGGCGCTGTACCGGTGAATGCACCGACACCGAGACCTAGACGGGAAATCTTTAGTTGGTGGCTGAATTATTCACAGGGTGTGTAGCGAACATACCCGTGATAATTCGAGCAACGATCAATTGAGGTAGACTGAACGGGGTCGCCTGTAGGAGGACACCAACAATGACAACAACACCAGCCGTAAAAAGCATGCGACGTCGCCCTAGGACGTCACCAATGAAGGCACAGGACAGAGCGCCAATCGCGCAACCGATCTCATAGATGGCAACGGTGGTACCTAGCAGTCATGAGCATGTCTCCAAAGAGTGACAAAGATTTTGGATGTTACCTTCAATATTGGGGTTTACCATTTCAGGGAAAACAGAGAGGAACGTTGGCAGCGTGACAAGGCCGTTCATCACAGCCTGATCGTAACCCTGGAGCATAAATGCTGTCGCGGCCACAAGACTGACCAGGACGCTCAGTGGCCTGCCTCTGAGCCCGAAGTAGACCATTTTGGCGGTATCCCGATTGAAGTTTTACAGATTATGGAAGGGAACCAAGCGATGGAAACAAAAGATGGACAACCAGCAAAGAGCAGGGTGTGGGAGGTCGTATTCTTATACCCACCACCAGTCCTCCGCATGACTGCGATGAGTAGTTCCCCCCGCTTTTTCTTCGCTTTCGATTCCCTTGCCCTAGCTCCGGAGGACAATTTCCCCGGAGCAGAAGGTCTGGAGTGACCCCACTCGGATTCGGGGCCATCCCTGACCACCTTGTGCTCAGGCCGCGGCACAGCAGCGAGGCTCTGGTGGCCGAAGCGTATAGCGCGACGTCAATGATCAAGCCCAGCGGCGATGTCATTGGGCAAGAATCCCGATAGCTCCTACAGGGCTAATTTGACTTTTTGCGCACCAAAGACACGGCATGGCAGAGATTGCTTGATGATGCTTAGCAAGGGCCAAGACAGCGCCAACCCAAGCCACAAGATTCTCATCCACAGGAACCAGTCTTGGTAGTCTTGGCTACATGTTGTAAGAATTATGCCTCGTAATAGCGATAATAATGGAAATCGCAAATAAATAGAAATCACCAATCACCATCAAATAAACATTATTGTCAAACAGCCTGGGGTCTGCGGGGTGCATCCAGAACATGTACCCTGTTTCTTCCGAAATCTGGGGGTAGGGAATTGATTGCTGATTTTGTATCTTCGGGTTACGTCCACCGAGGATGTCGCATTTCAAGTGCACTGACCACGGGCCGTGAAAGAACATCTTTCGGACGTTCGCCGAGCGAGTGGAGCAGCCTGAGCTTCCGGGTACCCGCACGGTATCTTCCAGCTTCGGACCGAGTGTGATTGGTCTGTCTGAACAAACATCGGAGTGTGCGGCATTTCTAAACTTACGGGGTTTTTTCGGTAGAATCCGTCTGCTTACTTCGGTGAGACATCCAATCGGTCTAGGCCCGAAACAGCCGCCATTCGTGTGTGTACGCTGTGGGATGGGCTGCTGTTGTCGGCAAGTATTTTCTAATGGATCGACTAGGAGATATGGAAATATCTCCAACAAGTACAGGCCTGCGCTGATATATGTGGAAAAGGCGAGTCATGGCGGCTCTGGTGAAAATGGAAAGGGGACCGGACGCGGTCCTCGACATTTCGGCCAACGCCGACCCCAAGGCCCTCCGGATAATCAAAAGACAAAATCAAGAGCGGGGTGGAGCACCCCCCAAACAACGCCTTCGGGAGAGATCGGGCACCATACCTACTGGGCCCCCTCAAAGATAGGAATCTGGGGAAGTAAAGTTGAAACTGCCGATAAACGGAGACGGGAGGTACTCTAGGAACTCTAATGACGGAGGTGTCAGGGAACCGACACCTTAGGCTACAAGGCCTTGGATACATTCTGCTTTGTCGGTAACTATGAAAAGCCATAGGTAATCAGGTTAGCTCCATAATATAACACGAAAATCGAGAAGTTCGTGAGAATGCTAGCATAGGGGGTTGATACTGCCAAATTCGGTCATGCCTAGTAATGAATTCGAAGAGGGCCATTCTCATCAATTCTGCACTTATTAACTAAACGAATAAGCACATAGTTGCTCTAATCTGATAGAGATAGCCTTTTGAGATCTGACATATTAAGGTTGGGGGCACGCATTTTTCGGCAATTAAAGCATTTGAGAAAAATATTGTCAATTCTAGGATACGGGAAGGATGCGAGGTCACCACTATTTTCTATTCGTTTTACTCAGAACGCTCGCGAAATAATTTCAGCTAGATTTCTCATCTCAAGCATCTAGCTTTTTGTATCCTATGTTGTCAAGATTGGGGCGGGTCCTACATCGCACGCATGACCAAATTAGAAAGCCCACGAGGGCAGCCGGCAGTGAAATAAACAAGACAATATGGTCTCCAATAGTCTTGAGCAACGTATAATCCCAGTCCGCCCATGATTCACCTTGAGCTTGAGTAAAGAACACCCAGGGATCAGCTCCAGGACGCATGTCCATGAGAACACGGTACAACGGGCTCCATCCGGCACCAGTGAAGCCGTGGAGTGACCCATCCAAAGATAGCAGCGAATGATACTTCTCCCACATTGCTGTAGAGAACCATTGTCCACTACAAAACATAATAGTCACGTATGGAAGCAAGTAGTTAAACTGCCAGAGCATGAGGTTCTCGGTGAGAAGGACAAAGTATGGGTGACCAGGCTGCCCGCCGATGATGTTGTTACTAAGAGCACCGTGTCCCCCGTCGGTAGTGAAAGCTGGATATAGGGTCAGAGGGTCAAGGTTCGCAGAGCAGCCCTAAGGAACATAAAGCTTTAGTAACGAGCTTCGTGAATTGTATCGCTAGCAACTTGAGAGGCAGGAGCGAGATAGATAGTACACGAAGTAATTTTCTTCTTTTACTCACATTATCCATGTCGATATAGATTCCACCGTAATGACGAAGGACGAAATATTTCATAGCGTCTACCCTCTGAACAGGATATTTGTAGCTTTTGTATGTGGAGAGAAACCATTCGAACTCTTTCCTGATGAAATCTTCAGAGCTTTTCGTCGTCCATAGCTATAAACAAAAAATTAGCTTTAAGACGCGATATCTTTTCTTCTGTCGCCCCACAGACTCAGTCTCACCATATGCTCCCAGCCAGGGTTCAAGTCTAGACACGTTTGATGTACTGGCTGCCAGTCTGCTGGAAGGGTATCATCTTCCGGATTATTCCAATTATGAAATATTTTATGTATTATCCGCGGGACCGTGGGGCTTTGGATTTCGGAGTTTGCGCTGTTGTAGGCAGCTAAAATTTCGTCCTGTGTGATCCGTACACCCGCATGGTCCTTGAAGATGCCAAACAGCTGTGCAAATGCAACTATGCGCGTGGCACAGTGCAGAATCACAGCAAGCCCCCAAAAGCTCAGAATGACCAGCAAAACTGCCAGTAGAAGGCGCTTGTGTCCGCGCCAGCTTGCCATCTTTCACTTCGTTTCGCCCAGTGAGTTGAAGGCGGTACTTAAGATAAGGGCCAATCGAGAGTTTGGCCGTAAAGGTAGGTTAACAGGGTAGATTGGGGATAGGGGTAGGAGAGTACAGCACGCTCCGTAAACTGGGACCATAGACCAGGGAATAGTTATTAGGCAGATGGACCAATAATAGGCAGCGGTAAAAACACGCAGAAGATCTTTAACCTAAAATAGACGAAATTTTTAGTGAATAACGACTGTACGAAGATGTCAGGTGACCGCGATGATCATTAAGGATAGAGGCATCTTCCGACAAACCGTTAGGTTTCTAACAACCAAAAATCTTGACGGAGTGTGTTTAAATGGGAAAATTCTAGACAGTGCAGTAAGGCCCAGCTACTACTAACTGCTAGCGGGATCAGCCCAAAGCCATTTGGCTCCCCCACATGATCTAATATTCGCACCTGACTGGCTGCATCTACACTGCCAAGGCATTCTCGCTTACCACGTCAATGGTGGATAAGTAATCGGATAGTGGACTAGCTAACTACCCTAGCAGCAACGAGATAGTAGATTATTTGCTTGGTATGCAACACTGAGTTAAAACTTGTCCTGCGGCCGGTACTCTGGAGGGTACATCGATTTCGCACCCTGTGGTTCTTTTGTTTGTGTATTTCAAAGAGACTTCCGAATGGCTTCAGAATGGTAATGCATAAATGCACTTTTTTTAAGGGATCTTTCAGTCAGGATCTTAAGGTTTTACTAGCTGTGTTTTATGTTCACTTATTGGTACATTCATGGGTCATTATGTCCACCTGATGGCCACTAAAGTGGCGACAACGAAACCTCATCCTCACCATTCTCATTAATATTTGATGGGACGAGGCGGTAATGATGGGATATAAACGGGCAAGCACATTTCTTGAAAGCCCAATAGGCTACCAGTAGAAACGAGCAGCCAAGCATAAAAATAGAAAGCCCCACACCTTGTGAGAACAACCCGACATAGCTCTGAACAAGATCCCGAAAGGCCCAATTTTGTTGTTTACCTAGGACCTCGGTCATGCCGAGAATGTCATACTGGTCATTCAATGCAACGACGCGGTAATAGACTGTTGATAGATCCGGGGGAAGCTCAATCTCTGTCTCAAACCCATCCTTCTTGACCACTTTGGACGGGTCAAATTGCATATCATCGATGCTGAAGCCGTCCCATAGTTCAAGTCGCCAGGCGACAACTTCTGTCGCACCATTCCAACTGACAAATACGGATGACCCAATTACCGCGGCTGCAGGGATAGTATTCGGTCGTCCAATCCAACTGCTTTTTGTGACACGGTATGAGACGACTTGTCCAAGTTGAAACCAGTTAGACGGCCCAAAATGAGTATCGCACAAGACTCGTCCGTTCTTCGAGAACTCGGTATAGGCGGCACAGTGGCCCCATCCCACAAATACATTGCCTGACTCAGATAACACTTGCACATTGCCTTGTGAGGTAGCTCTTATTCCCTCCGGGTGGAAATATGTTGCTCGTAGCCTGGCGACTCGATTCGGTACGTCAAGCTCAAGAGTCATGGCACGACTCTGCGTCGGTCCATCGAGAAACCATTCGGCGGTATTGTCCAGAAGCGTTAAGGTATAATCATCGTGCCATCGTGCATCATGCTGCCACGCGAAGTCGGTGGCTTTGCCCTCTGAGATGTCGATGAAATCGTTGAACTTCCCCCCTAAAGTCCATAGAATTTCGCCACTCTTTCCGTCAATGCTGAGTATGGAATGGGTGTGACGCGAAGAAAGCAGGTAGTTTCCAAATTGATCTTTGTCTATACTGTTGACATGATATGCATCATACGCATCATCACGATCCCAACCGCTTCCTTTTATCTCTTTGAACGAGCTGTCGAAGGGCACATGGTCGGATATGCGCCACTGAAACAGAAGTTTTCCTGTCCCAACTTCTATTTCTTGAAAGAGGCAATCGCGGATATATCCGTATAAGGGCCCTCCGATTGTAGATAGATCTGTAGGAATGGTTTCGTAGATAGTGATGAGAGCAGTTCCATTTTCAGTGATTCGGAGATCATGCATATTTCCATCGAAGTTTCCGACTGGCTCGATCTCGAATCGGTGGATATACGATGAATCTAGCTATTGGGAAATTAGCACAAGATGGTTGCGACAACAGAACTTGCCGGGATAGGAGGATCAGGGAAGTATGGGGACTGCAGACCATAGACCAAGAGCCTCGACCATGCCAATATGTCAAGTACTTGGCGCCGAGATACTCCTGAACACGGAAATCCTGTGCTCCATCAAAGAAAGGCATCATCCAGACCAGGTTGCCACGCGAATCTAGAATCATGGCAGCGGGATCCTCGACTGCATTTCCATGAGGCGCAATGAAAACGTAGTCGTGGCTGCATTCGGCATCCCACTGGGCAATTTCGACGTCTGGAGACTTGTATTCAACAGAAACATAGTCACGAGTTGGATAGAACCCGTAGAAACCATAGTCGAACAAAGTCAGGTTCACCTGGAGGTGCAGTCGTCGCAAATTCGGGACTATCAGGAATCTAAGTGAGGATATGGCGGTAACTGATAGCAGAATTATGGAAGCCAGGGTCAGCGGTTGGGAGGAGCATTGTTTCCAGAGCGTGACAAGGCGAGGGGCGGGCATTTCTCGCCCACAAAATGTTCTTCTGTAATCAATCACCAGAAGAGCGGCTCCATTGACAAACGAATTCTCGAGCGTAAAGTTTTGCTCCTAAAAGGATGCCAAACAGTTTAACTACTGACCTCCTTTCAGCAAAGGAGTCTCCTATGACGAGCGCTGGCGGGAACCAACTCCACTCTGCCATTATTGAATGGGCGGGTGGAGGTTTGTTAGATTAGATCTTCGCTTTGGCTCCAAAACAAGCCAATCAGAATCCAGGGTTTTCAGCATGCAAAAGTTGTTGACTCCATTGGTGAAAATCATATTTTAAGGATTTAACCTGGTTTAGCTCTGTCATCTGTTCTGCGAATTATTTTTGCCTTGTCGCCCACGGCTCCATTCATTCTAGAAGTCTAGGAAATCCAAAGTCACTTTTCTGGTTTCCTGTACCACTAACACGTTTGAGCCAAACCTACCATCGACATCGACCTGTCGACTCCCATTTTGTTGCTGTCATGATCACATGCACGTCTATTGCTACTTTCGACGCATGACATATCATATGCCTGGTCGATATGTCGCTAGGGTACGAAAGGTTACGCAGAAGCAACACAAAGTGCTTACCACCTCACCACGCGGGGCTATGACATCGTGCCTTCTTCCCGCCAGCTTAAAAGATAGTTCATCATGATCTTCCAAAGAGCTCATCTGCCGTCTATCTATTTCCTGGGCCCTATACGCTATTATTTCGAACTTCTTGGTCTAATATGAGAAGCTAAGTCAATACACGTGAATAATACGGGAAGATTGGATGGCTTTCGGCTCCTTGCGACATCATCGTTTGACAAAATCTCCAGAAAGAGCTTGAAACGCCTTCTTCCCTTGGAAGCGTCTTCGGCCAAATCTCCTTCTTGGAAGCTGCTGACCACCACGGTCATGGGGAATGTAGCAGACATTAGCCACCATACGAGATATGATTCTGCTACAAGAGCACATTTGCACGAACATATGCTGAATGTGAAGAGGCCGGAGAGATCCATAACTGTCGGGTCTTTGAGAAATATAGTTTGGCGTATGCCAGCGCAGTGTGGGGCCAGGCGATCTTGAGAGAATTCTAGAAGCATCCCTCGCAATACCGGGCAATCATTAGCAGGCACTCTAGAGCCAAAATCATCATCTGTGGAAACCCAAAGTTAATCATGATGTCGAAACGTGTTCTGTAACCATCATGGGTAGTTAGTCGGGGGCTACTCACAGGCGTTCTTCACAGATCAGGAATCACGCATACCGGAAAGATAAAGATTCGCGGTACCATTTTGCATAGAGCAGGTTTAAACCCAGAGCAGAAATTGAAGATACGGACCCTGATCTAAGGGTCCAAGTGACTGGGAACTGAAACGGCTAAAGAATATAGGTGGAAGAAAGCGAATATAAACGTAGCAATCAATGAAAGCACTTGTGAGAAACTCGCCTAATGCTTTGGTGTCTTGCAAATTTTCTAATTCTCCTACTCCCACAGCAGACCAATTATATACAAGCATGTGAGTCACAATGAGGCGATTTTGGCGCGCAGAATCAAATCCACACATATATGTATATAAGAAGACACTAAGCGCACCACACCACATCAAATCTAATCAATCGTACCCTCAGGCAGAACGGAAACATAATCCACCGGAGCATGTTCAGTGCCATCGGGCTGACCAACAATTTTGAGTATATCCCCCTTTTGCACCTTAATTGCACGGAATGTGATCCTTGTCGCGGAATGACCATCCAAGTACTCTGAAAAATCATGCCCTAGCTTGTCCTGCAAATCGCCAGTCCAGATCCCAATTGATCGCTCGTTGAGAAAAATCTCATACTTAGATCTGCCACCTAGGTGATCGTAATAGTTGACTGCAATATCATAGATGCCAGTGGGAAAGCTGAGCTCCTTTTGTGCGGTACCAGGCTCGGTATTTGACTCGGTAACAATGGCTTTTCCACAGGAGGCTGCTTCTGTAGGGGTGACAGAGACGGTTTTGTAACCTGTCAGGTGCATGTCCTCGGCTTCAATACGCCAAATGTGATTTCCAACACGATTCTTCTCGTCGGGGATCTTCGATTTTGCAAAATAGAAGTTGTTAACAGAGTCTCTCCAAACAAGAGCATGGCCAGCTTGGTACTGCAATTTGAACGCGGTCTGCTTGAAGCGGTCGTCGTCTATAAGTCCTTCCAATTTGGCCCATTCAACTGGAAAGGTCTGTGCATGTGCCGCACCTTCGTAGTGCTCATCATAGATATGTTGAATGACTGTTTTTCCGGATTTGAGACGGTGCGTGTAAGGGACATGGTGGAACCAGAGCAGCAGGTCGTCAGGGGTCGTTTCGATATTCTCGTAGATGGCAGCAATCTCAGGCGGGTATTGGCCCGCATTTCCAGAGCCGGTGGCCACAGTACGGTCCATACCTATGGAATGAGCGTTCGCACGAGTCCATTGACCCCACCCATTCCCGTCTTGTGAGCCTGGGCTAGGACCATAGTGAGTGTATATAATGTCACAAAGGGTCTGGATTCCCAGATTCCCGCTGTACTTCTCGTATGTGGGCCAAGACTCCATGGAGATCTTAGTGATGGTATCAATGATGGTCTCGTTTAGGCCAAATGTGAGACGTGTCCAGTCTTGAATGATAGACACTGAGCTGGCGAGTGGGTTCCAAGCAAGGCGGCCGTAAGCGTAGAGGTTAGACATGGACAGGTGATGCCCAATCCAAGTGTTATCACTGCCAATGTTGAGGACGGCAGTGTAGCCGCTGCGGCTCCAATTCAGACGTTCACCAGACACAATGTCCCGGATGAGAGAGGGCTTGCCGTCGATGCGCATATCGTAGTCGAGAATTTCTCTCCAGAGAGGGGCCATGTAGACGTAATGTGACTGCTGGCCGAGATACTCCTGGGCGACTTGGAACTCGATGGCGCCTTTGGTTTTACGCAAATTTGCCAACAGCGGAGACGGGGGTTCGCGGACCTGGAAATCAATGGGGCCCCATTTGATTTGTACGATGACATTGTCTTCAAATTGGTCGTCAAGCTCCTTGAAATAATCCACCGCAGCGTTTGCTCTGTCATTGGTCCACACTGATTCATCCAGGTGGTGATTGTACACAAAAGCGCGATACATGACAACTCCATCCCCATACGGCTTCAATGCACGAGCAAACATGTTGGCGCCATCAGCCAGAGTGCGATTGTATGACAAGGGTCCTGGCTGACCCTCCGAGTTGGCCTTAATGGTGTATCCGACCAAGTCGGGAACCTTTTCGTACACTTTTGCTGTGATTTCCTTCCACCAGTCGTTCACAGCAGGGTCCAATGGATCAGAGGTAGGCAGACCACCAAATTTCTTGGGGGAGTCAAAGTAAAGCGATATCCCAATCCGTACACCCCAGGGGCGCATAGTATCCGCAATCCGACGGAGACCGTTGAGGTTTGTCTCACTGAAAAGCTTCGGGTTGGCGTTAACATTGTTGACGACGACGGCATTCAGGCGAATAGAGGAGAGGAGCCGAGCGAACTGAGAAACACGAGACATATCCGTAACCACCTTTCCATTCCGGAAGAAGATAGATGGGCCGGCATAGCCTCGCTCTATGCTTCCATCCAAATTGTCCCATTGATTCACCCATCGGATGGGAGCGCTGGGATTGTTTGCGGTCTTAACAGGGTCGAGATTTCCCTGTGCTAGCCGCATGAGATATTCGAAAGCACCGTAGATAGCACCGCGCTCGTTTTCGCCAAGGATGTGAACACATTCATTTTCGGCATGGGTATTGAGCCAGAATCCATCCTCCTTGAGATCCGGAATTTCTGGAATCTTGCCACATGTCGAGGAGAATGCCTCAACGGTACCGATGATAACGGAGGATGATGTCGTGCCGCTCAATTCGCTACTGAGTTCGATTTTCTGACCAAGGATGCGTCGTAAACCGTCTTGAACTTCCTTTCCTGCCGTATAAACAGGACTGGTGTGGGACTTGTTCAAGACAATAATGTTTGAGAAACTGCGGTAGCGGCTGCTGATTTTGGCGGGGAGCGGGGCATACCGCAGCCAACCGTCAAGGCCACTTTCGATAGTCATATTGAGAACTGTTGAAATAACAATAGTCCATCAGTAAACAAAAGTTCTTGTTCTTCTACCCCTCAAGGTACGACGCCAGCTTTTATCAGACCCAGGTCGACGCCCAATTTACCCGCCACCAGGCTAAAAGCCCAGCTGCCTTTGTTTATCCCCATTGGACAACTAGTCGACCAGTGTTGTCGTCGGCTAACATTAATCTAGTCACATTTCAGCCACAGGTACGCAAAATGTTGGATTCTGGAAATAAGATCAATCTTGTCGTTATTTTTGCTTTGTGGATACTGCCAACTTGCGACTTACTTGGAATGTTTACGTATTTACTCTCTATGGTATAGTAGTAGTTCTTCGCATGGAATGTGTCAAAGCAGCAGGGAATAGATTTGGCCTCAAATTGCGGACACTATATAAAATTCATCCCAGCTCAGCCCTGTTTGGTAATGTTCTCTGCAGTATCCTCATCAATCTCGGCATCCTTGAATTCCCAAGCCTTCAAGTCTCTCGCAAACAGAATATCTAACTCCTCATAGGTACGTCCACGCGACTCGGGAAGACGGAAATAAGCCCAAACAATAACTAACAGGGTGAATCCAGAAGCAAGAAACGCTGTTTTGCCCTTCCAGTTGGCTGCGGTGGGGTTGAGCGTATAAGGGGCAACAGTGGAGCTGAAAACATTGGCGACATTGTAGGCGTTCCGCGCGAGCGAGATACTTTTCGAGCGCAGACGAGTGGACGAAATTTCACCAACAACGATGAATGCCAGCGGTCCCAGAGTCAGCTCATAGAAAACATACCACAGAAGGTACATTGCGGACTCTCCGTAACCCAGACCAGATGTTTGGTGAACGCATGACATGATGCCCAAAATTAACATGGACATGGCCATTCCAACATATCCCCCGAAGAG